TTTTTTTTTTTTTTTTTTTTTTTAACTTGGAACAACTCCTTTTTGACATTTTTAGTCCCGCACCCCACTCCTCCTCAACTGCTCTCCCACCCCCAGGAAACAAGGGCCTCCTTTGGGGCCACCTTGACTCCATGGTTGCATCCGTCTCCTGACAGGTCTCCCCGCTTCTGCCCTGACCCTCAGAGTGAGCCTGTTAGGACAGAAGTGAGACCAGCCCCTGCTCTGCTCTGAACTCTCCAGGACTTCCCGTGTGGTGCAGGTGAAGTCGAGGTCTCACGGGGCCTGGCCCCCCTGTGCTTCCCTGGCTCCCCTTTCCCCATCATTCCCTCATTCCCTGCACTTCAGCCACAGGGCGTCTCGAGGAGGCCAAGTGCCCTGCTGCTTCCAGGACTTTGCACCTGCCTGTTTCCTCTTGAAGACAGGCGGCAGGGCTGGCTTTCCTGTTTCCTTCAGGTCTTTGTTCAAATGTCGCCTCATTAAGGGAGTCCTTTCGGGAACAATGCACCTGAAATAGCAGCCCCCAGTGACTCTCTTCTCCGGGCCCTGCTTGCTGCTGTCTTCTCAGCACCAACCATTGTCTATCTCTGTCTCCCTTTCCCTAGAATGTCAACTCTGGGTGCACAGGGGCCATGCCCACTGCGTGTCCTCAGGGTCTGGACAGTGCCGAGCACATAGTAGGTGCTCACGTATTTGTTGAATGGATGGAGAATCCAGCCTACTTAAGGGAGGTAGAAAGTAGAAGTCTGGGCAGATTATAATAATGAATCTCCTTCCCCCTCACCATTACTGTCCCTTCCTGGGACACGGGATTGTCCCTAATGTACCTGCTGCTCAAAATGGGATTCCCAGTGAGGAGCCCTGGACCCCTTTTCTGAGGGTGCGTGTTTTTCAAATCCCACAGAAGTCATTTGTTCTTGTTAACAGCAAGCAGCTCCCACAAGAGATCATGGCTTTATAGTTCAGCTGGATTAGTTTAAAAATGATTAAAGTAAAAGTAATCCCCTTTATCTTATCAAAAAGAGGTGACCAGAGTAAAAGCTCCCAGGCAGAATGTCCCATCTCACCTAGAGCTCGCTTGCTGAGAGAGAGGGACATTCCTGAGATGGCAGACCCTCAACTCATCCATCGATTGAAACACTGACCACACTGGGAATTGCGGAGAAAGTGGGGTGCAGTATCCTTGCCTGCGGGGCACCTGTCCAGGTCGCCCTGTGGTTTAGAGACCATGTTGAATGCACCTGTCCCCAGGAGGGCTGGGAAACGGCTGGGCCATGGGAGGCTGGATGAACAGCTGAGGTTGACTTCTTCTGAGCTGGGAGGCAGAGGGTTGCAGCTGAGCGGGGAATGTTGGGAGTTCACCTTAGGCTGTGTGGTGTGGAGATGCTGGCTGGGCAGTGGGGCAGACACCCTGAATTTGGTGAGGCTGGAAGTGAGAGTAGCCTGTGATACCCATTTGGGAAGCATGGGGCAGGGCCTACCGATTAACCATGTAGCTGAGGGGGTTTGTTGAGTCCTCAGTAGGTGTTACCTCGGTGCGGCCTAGGCCCCTACCAGCCTACCAGGAGGTCCAGGTCCCAGCTCCTGGCCAAGAGCTCCACTCCACCCAAAGACTTTTGGCTGGGCTCCTGCAGTGCGCAATCAGACAGTTTTAGAGTCACAGGTAACCGCCCTGCTCAAAGCCCTTCAGAGGGTTCCCACTGCCCTTGGGAGGAAGACCAACACCTGCCCTGGCTCTCAAGGCCCCACCTGACTGCCCTTTTGCACCCACCGCTTCTGTTACTCCTCTTTTGGTTCCTTCAACATGTCACCCACATTCCTGTTCCCTTCACCTGGTTGCTCCCTCCCACCCCCAGCTGCCAGTCATCTTTCCTGCCTCGTCTCCAAGGCGGCTTCCTCACACAGGCCTCGTGGGGTGCCCTGCTGCCTTCTCTGTGGTCCGAGCAGTTGGCCTCTGGGGCTCACTCTAACCTCAGCAATGAAGTAAGTGATTGTGTAATTAGTGGTTTGGGACGTGCCTTCCTTGCCAGAGGGCAGGGTGGCCTCTCCCTTGTAGCTGCCCTGTCTCCTGGTCACCATCGGTTGTGTGAAGGCCGGCCAGGCTGAGTGGGGTGGTGGGTAGATAGGGGTGACCGGCGGGGCCTGGAGCCATCGGCAAAGATCCTTCGAAGGAGGAGGACTTGGGAGGCAGAGGGGGTGGGCACTTCACCTGCAGAATTCGGTTAAACAGAGATGGAAAGAGCCCGGCTTGAAATCAGGAGGAGCAGCCACCTGTAAAAGGAGAGGCTGGCTTATCAAGGACTGCACATAATAGCACCTGTCTTAGCCCCTGGCTGACATTTCTCTTCTCTTCAGAACTGTTTTCAACACCATGCCCTAGGCAGCCTTTACCAATCGATAGGAGATGGTATTGGAGATAAGCCCTGGTTATCAGGCCTGACTCCGAAGAATATCTCTCGGGTGAAGCCAAACCCTGACGCCCTGTGATTCAGGGAATGTGTGACTGGAGGACTGAGCTGGGACCTGACCACTGCTGGTGGGAAGAAAGCTCTGCTGAGGCAGAGGGTTCAGCAGCGCCCAGCGGATCATCACAGAGGGTGTCAAGGGCTGGCAAGTTCAAATGCCTCGGAGCCGGTAATTAATATGAGAGAAGTGTGCCAGGAGGGGTAATAGGGACTGGTGAGGGGTGTGGCAAAGGGAGAAAGGGAGCGTGCGGGCCCTGTCTAAAAGGATTTAACATCTTTCTCCCCCACTCCACTTCCTCTTTTCCCTCCGTCTCCTCACTGTATGGGTCAGGCAAACAGTCTTCAGGCAGGATTTTTCTCCCAGACAGCCCTACTGTGACCTCTGACTCCTACGACTTTATTGGAAAATCCAGATCTAGAATGAGCACTGTGGCCCCGAAGGCCACGCTGCAAGCCAGAATGGTGGCTTCCTATTTTATTGCTCTCCATGCAGTGTGGCCATGAAGCTTGGGAAACAGGACAAGGGTGGACTAGGGAGGGACAAGCATGGATTGAGGCTTAGGTTTTCAAAAGATGGCAATTTCATTATGGGTGCTTATGGCAAGGGACATGGGTGGCCTGTTTACCAGTACTGTTGGTAATCACTCATGTGACTTCTTTTATGTACTCACTGGTTAAAATTCCCCAGATCTTCAGAGACATCACTTTCCACTGGGGAAATTTTCCCTCTCATGATTAAACACACACACACACACACACACACACACACACACACACACACCCCTCTTCCTTCCTCACTATTAATCACCTTCTCCTATAATTGGTACTTAAAATGTCAAAGGAGAAGGAATTAATTAACAGGAGTATCCAGTGCAGCGACGCATGCTGCAAGGCTCTGGGACTGATTATAAAAAGCACTTCCTTAAATATTTTGAACACTTTGGGGAATCACAAACCTCCCTTGTAATTGAAAGATCCTTAACTACACCCCAAGTCCTGGCTGGTGGCCAGGGGTTCACAGCTGAGTGAGGCGGTGTGTGGAAATCCCTTCTTCAGCACCCCAGGGAGACTTGCCTCCCACCTGGGAGAGGTGGCTGCAAAGGTTCAGAAGCGGCAGGGATCCCAGGCTGACTCTGGGCAGAGGAAGAGATCGGACAGGACAGAGAGCCTGCTGCGCGTGAGGAGCTTCGCACGCGGTGTTTCACAACTATCCTCGCGAGGCGGGTGACACTGTTGCCTCCACTTTACAGATGAGCACATTGAGGCTCGGCGTGGCTGGGATTTCTCCAGGCCACGCGGCTCCTTATTGAAAGCACAAAGTATTCCCACTTAGGTCTGATTCCAAAGCTTTCCTTTTTCCGGGAATCCTGAAATCCTATTTCCAGCTCTCCTTTGGACGGCTCCCCTCCGCAGCCCCAAACTCACTCTGCGGGTGTTTTGACAGCTAAGCCCGCAGCCGGGACCTAAGCCTGGGAGGCGGAGCGAGGGGAGCACGGCGCCCGCCCAGCTCCAGTGTCAGCCAATGGTGACGCGGCGCCCACAGCCTCCCGCCCAATCAGCAGAGCCCCCGCCCTCACCCTCCGCCGCTCCTCGGGCCCCACGGCCCTCCCTTTGGCTCCACCTAGCTTGACGGAGCGGAAAGTCCCTACAGTCCGCTCCAGACCCGCAGCCATTGGAGGAAGGTCTGTCACCGGGAGACCCAATCAGACCGTGCGCGAGAACGCAACTCGGGATGTGATTGGTTAGAGCGGCGGTTGCCCCTCCGCCCCC